GGGGGGGGCTTTGTCGAGTACAGTGCTTAGGTGGCAATCTACAGCTTCTGCGGTTCCTCCGAAGAAGGTTTGGCCTAAAGAACTACGTTCAAGGGCTTTGGCAGTTGCTAGGACGAAGTGTTGTTGTATATTCGGGAGGGGGGGAATTGGGCGTGCTCCTCCCCTATCCGGACCTCTTTTCAGAGGCGACAGTAAGGCCGGAGGCCTCCTTAGAGGGGTCTCCTTGGAGGGTAATCGGCTTGTTTAGTACAAGCAAGTGAGAGCAAGTGATTTAGAACAAAAAATTTGATCTCGAAAAAAGGTTGTTTTTTGCAAGTCCTGACATAAAGTCTCCTTTATAAGTCTATTTATACTCTTTGATATAATGTTAGCCCCTTGGCTAAAGAGCTACTCGCTAGCGCACTTGTCGTGGGTATTTGAAAATGTTTCCTCGCTATGAGAAATAGATAAAATAGTATAGCGTACGCTGTTTACCTTCTACTAGTATAAGGGATTATATACTCGGCTAAACCGAAATAGGTGGACCGACTAGCTGGAGTACCTAGGGTACGCTACGGGACCTCGGAACGATTAGCGCAACTCTACTTAATTATTACTCTAACCGAGTCTAACCTACTCAGTTCTTGGCGAGTAGGTCAGAGTAGGGCTAAACCCTACTTAAGTAGTGTTAAGCAGGTGCCTCTACTCTACTCTACTCTACTTTAATTATTTAATACGCTGCTTATAGCCCGTCTCATGGATCTAAGTACTTGATAATAGATATAAGATCAGCTTTCTGGTAGTGATACCTTGAGATAGATCTACCCCTTACGTAGTCTTTTCTCAAGATATCTTCAAATCACGGAGACACTAAAATTAAAAATGCTCAAATAACCCAATTTTTCATAATAAGATCATAGAAATACTTAACGTCGAAGAGTACAACAAACGTAATCTCATGTAACAACGTTCTTCGCGAGACTCCCAATTCGAGACCTTCTCTCCCTCTTTTCTCCAGCCCCTATAAAAAAGCTCCAAAGAAAGGACTCAAGAATATCCTGCTTCCCAAGTCAGAGAACGAACACCCGTACGACAGGGTTCTTGAATTTAATCATACTATACAGATTCTCACTTCACTGCCTTTAGAAATACTGTACGAGTACAGCGATGTATCAATTGCAGATCGTTGTGGTAATTAGTGAACCAGAAAAATTGAATGAATGCTAGCCGAGTTCGCATCAGGACTTAACTTTTTATTTGTTTGATCTTAACAAATGCGACCATAGCTAGAGGAGACAGTAATGGGGCCTGAAAAAATTACTGTCACTTTGGTCTTCAGTTATCAACTGTGAGGTTTTGACAGTAATTATTAGAGCTCTGCTGTTGAGGTTTTATCATGCGGTTTTACATGATAGAAACATCATCTGTATTATGGAAAGCGATTTTATTTCAGAACATATTTTTCTTCTAGCAATGTCGAAGGAGCAAAGGATGAAGAGCCATCTGAGTGTCTAGAGGTAGATTCAGAGGCAGGCACTAACTAGACTGGCCACAAAAAGGTTGAATGCAGAGCAAAGTCAAAAATCATGAAAGCGGTCTTGAATATGCCCATTTGCTCAAGGTCCACTCGTCAACACCAAAGTTCTATCCAGTAAACCTCCATAGCTCCACGACTGATGGAAAAGAAAGCGAGAGGAAAGTACCCTGCCAAGGTAGAGAAAACCCGAGTCCTGACACTGGCCCATTAACCAGCGAGGTTGTCTAAAGGGGTGCCATTCAACGGGTAATGTTGATGCTGTTGAAGAATACGTTTGCTAGTTTTGCAATCAGCTCGCAAGAAAACTGTTCACATGATTAGTCTTTGTCTACTGGCCGTGTTTACTTTGAGGAAGACAAGTACATACTAGCACCACCAGAAGCGTATTCATCATTCTCGAAGAATGGGAAGCCAGGTAGTTGTCAATTGAGGAGAGCGGAGCTCCATCTCAAATTCCTTCAATTTCTTCCAGTTTTCGATGTAAACCTTTGATTCTCCACGAAGCGAGGTACAATAAACTCCATACAGCGCTTCTTCAGTCGCTTCGTCAACACCAGTCTGTGACAGGTTTCGCAAAACCACTTGTTTTCTTGCCCAGTAAACTGAGTCACTCTCTCCTTCCTCCATGTCGGATTTTAGGATATGAATTCGAAGAGCGGTCCATAATGGTCGATTGGATTTTCTGATACTCTTCAATTTCAAGGCAGTCTTTTCGAAGCGTTGGCACAATTGGCTTTGGTGTTCGTCAATCCGGCTTAGAATACTCTGGGCCTTTTCTGGTGACATTTCTGTATTTTCAAGCTCATTTCGGATAGATTTGGACCAAGAAGGGTAACTTCCTCGCTTGTAAAGAAGTCCTTTTGCATAGACGAGTTCAGCATGGAGTTCGCCCGACGTATACTTGTAATCCAATTGGAGAAGTTCGAAGATTCCGTATCGAGACAGGAGATAAGAAGAGTAGCGGGGTATGTCGAAGTTAATGTTCGAGTGTGTGCGGCTGGGCAAGCACTGTTTCCAATCACGCTCTTCTTGAAAGCCATTCTTCTCAGCAAGGTAGCCCTCTCTCCTCTTTATTTCCGCCTTTACCCTTTAGAGAAATTCTTGGAGAAAATCTACGAGGGCTTCCAGAGCTTTGAAGCCTAGAGATAGAATTAGATTATAACTGCGTTTCGTTGAGGCTTAGTAGAGCACTTACCACCATCAAGGTCATCCAGTTGACTTTTGATGACTTCCTTAGGTTCCTGAGAAACTGAGAGTTGGGGCAATTGACTTGATGACACTAGCATAAACTTGTCAGTGTCGTTAGAGGAACTGACGACTACAAAGAAAAACTTACTGTTGCCAAGCTAAGCTCTTTGCTGGAGGTTGATATTTACAAACAGACGCAAGAACCAGCAAACCAAAAAGAAAATACTGCGGCAGTATATCCCAATGCAAGAAGAGCAGTGTAGTAGAAAGATGCTGTAAGCTTCAAAGGTTTTTGGTTTAAAACCAAGCCTCTTTTGGAAGGCCTTGAGAATGCACGTTTGTATTTCTGATTTGAAAGTTGAGTAGCTTGGATCGGTTGGTCGGATCGGTTTTGGTGTTGAAAGGCTGGCAGATAAAGTTTTCAGCCTAGGGCTTGGATGTGAGATGCTGTGGTGTTGGATTGGACATAGGTGAAGGTGAAATCGGTCATTCACCACGCAACCCCTTTGGTACACAAAGTGGCCATACCCTGGACAGCAGAAACTAGCTCCTTGTTTGTAAAACTCAGCTTCCAAGTTTACAATTGTTCCAAAAGTTACAACTGATTGAAATCATTAAACAAAAGTTCTCGAACAATTAACAAGAGTGCCCCAAGAATGAGGTTATTTATTTATGACTGCCACAAAAAGGACAAACTACAAGGAATCAATTTGCTGCTCTCCTTTTGTCCACCGACAGAAAACCGAGTCTACGAGTCTACGGAGGTCTCGCGCCGCAGCGGCTTCCTCGTCTGGCAAAATATCGCTCCGTCGCTACCGCAACCGCACCTCACGCCACCCCACAAAACCTATGAATTCTCAAATAAGAACCTCAGCTTCCATAATACTCATCCTTTAGTTAGTGGAAAAGGTCGTGTGTAGGCCTTCCGTCGAAGCCTAGCTGCAGGGGGGAGAGTTGTCTTGTATGAGCGGTTAAGAACGACTGAGGGGATGATTGGGCCTCAATGATCGGCTACACCTGTCTCTCCACTATTTTTTTTGGTTTTTTAATTCTATGCTACTGGCTAATTTGACCTTTTTGACCTTTTTTGCTACTTTCTTTTGTGGTTGTCACTATCTCGTGTTGTTTTGGTTCAAGCGAGCGCGCGAAAAGCAGCGTTTGATATTGCCCTCAACTACCGCGTATTTGGAAGGCGGCCCCTACCATCGTTGTTAGCGGAAACCTTGACTCTAAGAGTCGATCTTATATTTCTTATGTGGAAAAGCTTGTTCCAATACTGACATGATACTTTGACAGTAGACATCACGCAACTTTTTTTTTGATGATTTTATCACAGGTTGATGTTGTGGTCGATGGGTTTGGTACTGGTAACAGGGGCTAAATTTGAAGACAGCTCTCGAGCCGCTGTATAGTACTTTCATAATGAGCAGAATCAGGACAAAGAGGCGATATCACTGGATAAACCAGAAGTGAAAAAAAGAACTCTTGGTCACCCAATTACCATCAACACCAACATGAGATTTTCCAAGTACATGTCACATATCTGACCAAGCCTTAAACTAACCACCATCGCAGAAAAAACCTGGAAATTTCTGGGTCACGGAATAAAGCAAGCTGGACGTTACAGCTGCTCCCCCAAGAGCTGCTATGGTCAATTTCCGCTCAACACTGTGCACTGCATAAATTGGCTGCCAAACCCCAAGCTTGAATCATTCCAGGATGAACAACTGTTTACGGCGTTCTGCAGGTTCCTCGTGGAATGAGAAGTCGGGGATTTGGTTGCCGCGTGGTTGCACCAAACCTGTGAACTTATCAAGACCCTCGTGCTGGTGGGCGGTGCGTTAGGAGACATGAATAGCGGATGTTCTGTGAAGATTTTTAAATTTTGGGGCGGACTCGTTCGACAAGGTTGTCATTATTGTGATATCTCCCCAAGAAAATCCTTTCGCCTCGGAGAAGCGTGATGAGTGTCTTGCTAACGTTGGATGAGGTAGAAGCTCTCTTAATGTTTGATTGCCGAGGACTTTGCCAGTTCTTGTTGGACATGACTCTTTATCCAAGAGGATATGGTTCCATTGGTATCGAGTAACTTACATTCGCTCCCGGATTCTAGGGCGACGATCCTTCAATTCTCGAGCGTGTTCTAGCCCGACCATTTGTATATGCCAGGGCTGGTGGATCCAATATTCATCAATTGTGTTCCACTGATCTCCTGATCTCTGTGAACTGATTTCTGTATTATTTAAAACTCCAAGATTCAACAGATATCTCTGGGTTGGGCGCTTGAATAATATTTGCTAAGTATACACATACTAAGAAAATATCTAGTCAAGTCAAACAACACTAGCTATCATTCAATAGCTTAACATCGACAGTCACTGGATTTGTGTTGTAATTAGTTGTTACAAAACTAGTAAATGGAATTTACCAGAGCGCAAGCAATCTGCTGGCAAGTGTGGAAAGGTCAGAATTTGGAAAGAGTTTAACCAAGCTACTGGGAGAAAACGAGATTTATTTGATATTGAAGGTCCCTATCCTAAGAAGAATGCTCTGTTGCTCTCTAATGGAACAGTAAGAAGTCTTCGGCGAGAAAATGTTGAAAAGCGCGAGCGTCAAGGTGTCCAGGTTCGAAGAATCACTGGCAAAATGTCACCCCAATGTGGCCAAGGAATCTGCGAGTCATCATTCGCATCTACACGACCATACAATTTGCAAGCCTCGCAGAACTTTTTCCACCATGTTTCCTGTGACAAGACATGTCTAGCAATTTCTTTATGGTTTGCCGTTCCTAAGGTGTCCACAAACTCTGAGAGCCTCTCTTCCACAGTACCTATCGTTTTGTAATAACCAAGGAAACCCTCCTTTTCTGAAAGACATGCACTCAGAAGCATGCAAATGAACTCGAGATATATGGCAACTCTCTTATTTGCAATGTCTTGCTTTAGTTGTGCGTCGAAGATGATTGGGTATCTATCAGGGGAATTTTCCCTTTCTTCTGGGTCTTCGCCAGTTCTGAGAAATTTCAGACCCCTGAGGAGTCTTCTTCGTGAGTCGCTTTGTTCCTGAAATGGATTTCCGGGTACGCAGGCTCTACAATCACGTACAAAGATTTTCTCCTCTTGAAGCTCTTCGCGGCGTTGGGCACTTGTTTTGTACAGCATTTCCCTGTAGCTGAATGTTATTTCCTCGCCAGCCATGATGTCCCGAAATGCGTAGCTTTTGAGCTGCACATTATTGTGAGTGACCTGCATGTTGGGGACACATGAGTGGTTGAAGCGTGAGTGTACAACGTAGAGGTGACTGGGTGCTTTTGACTGTTTAATTTCGAAGTAGCTGTCGGAGAGAGCATCGCGGTAATAAGTGTATTTTTTTGTGGCATCACCATTCTTGCGGAGCCAAGAGAATATCCTCAAGTCGCGGTCTCCTAGTTTGTTGGCGGCAGCTTGAACGACGGCTTCTGCGGCTTTGTAACTTGTTCTCGGGACTACTAGGAGTGGTTCTTCTATGTATATCTCGGATCCTTCCGCGATATTAGTCTTAGCAAAACACCCCCATCCTTTTTCTGGTGAGGGCTTGAGCTCAAATGGAGCGTCATTTGCGATTGGAATATCTTTGTATGCTGGAAGGGACAAGTTTAGTTTTCATCATGGTGAAGTGGCTGGATAACTTACGATGAGATGGAGGCATTTTCTTTTTGCGAGTCAGTTATCGACAACTTATTGTTGGGTGAGAACCACCTCTAATCCTCGCATTTTAATAGGGATTAGCTCGAAAGAAAAGTTTCAAGCGTGTCCTCCTGGCTTGAGCAAATTCTAGGACAAACGAGATTACAACTCTGCATATTCATGTTTCGCATGCTCAGCTGCGTACTGTACATGGTGGCGCTCTGAAGAAGTTTCCAGACCCCTTTATTGTTTTGTGTTATTTTTGTGCCAATTTCTGATTCTAATTCTTTCTTTCCAAAAGCATGAGAATACTAGAGGTTGCAAGAATGCGTGACTGAACAAGAGCAGAGAATCTTTACTTTTCACATCTTGTTATTTCACATAGGCTTAAAGAACAAAGTGGATTATACTAGATGATTTCAACAATCTTTTTGACATACAAACCGAAATTCCACTTATTATAATAGTTTTTAGTTTAGCTAGTTCTTATAAGTAAAAGGCTTTAGAACTTGTATGCAGGAAGGAGTCGAGTATATTCTCAACCCCTCTAGAGGATGCAGTTGTTCGTGACAACTCAATTTCTTCTAGCAGATACCAAAGAAACTGCAAGTTACGTTGAGCAAATTGATTTGTGGCTTCATGACTTCCAAATTTGTTCCTTTTATAAGCGTAATAAGTCTAGCACCCAGGATTTTACCATTCTAGGACATTAATACCTTCAACGCCGCCCAATACCCCACAGCAGTGATCCACCACTGTATTAAATTGTTGCAAGTCTTGCTCTGATATCAATGTATATCACCTTTACAATCAATGTTCAGTCTTTGAGAGCCATCTAACAAGATCAATGTTCACTAGTAGAGGACAAAAGCCTTAACATAACACCATGGTATGGTAACAACAAACTTATTCAAAAAAAGCAGAGATATGACAACAGATGCTTAAGATAGTATCTAATTTCAGCCCACTGCATTTGCTTGTATTTTTTGAAGACTGAACATAATGGTGATGCACTTGCTCAATAAGCTCGGAACAACATTTGCCCGAATGGAACCCTACATCCGTTGATGAGGTAATTGCTTACTGTACTTGAACTCCAAATCACAAAACAGAAACATACCCCAGATTCTCACAGCTGTGTAGACATCTCAATTACTTCCGATACAGAATGGAGACCGCTATGGAACAGCAAGTCAGTAGTGAAACTACACTCACCTCGGCAGAACATGTCCCTACTCCTAAGTTCACTTGCTTTCAAGAGTTACCATGGGAACTGAGAATGGCCATTTGGGAACATCTTCTCCCTCCCCCGCGGCATATCAAAATCCGTTGCGAGAAAGCTTCTCACCCAATAAATAAACGTCGCTTTGCAAAATCATTCGAATCGAACCAGCCCCTCCCCACGCTCCTCCAAATATGCCACGAGACGCGCGACTTCATACTCACCACGTACCACCCGTATATCCAGACCGAACATTCTCCTTCGTACACCTACACATCGTTCGAGAAAGATACGATCTCCCTTGATGATGGCGTATTGAGCCACTTGAAACGAAAGGATTTGGACGTGATTGAGAAACTCGAGCTGGCCGTTCAGGATGCAGCCTATTTCACACACTACAATTTGGAGATTTTGAAGAGAATGAAAAGCTTGAGGGAGTTGACTCTCCAGGATGAAATGGAGGAGAGAATTATTGCTGCGTGGGATTCAAGAAGTTGGCATTTCAAAGTTGCGGACGAATTCCGGCAAGCTATGGCGGTTGATCCTGGAGTAAGTTTTACTATTTTCGCCCACTGTCCATACCGATGGAAGAGAACTCATCTCGGCCTGGCTATGATGCAGAGTTTCAATCAATTTGATATCTCGACATGGCATATGTTACTCTAAGGTTGCTTCTCGTGTGTCATACGGTTGACGGCATGTCTGTTGACCGGGATGTATTGTTCCACTTCTCAAAAACCATCCTTCCTTATAATTATAGATTTCACGAAAGTTGTAATGCTGACCTTTTCTTTTAGTGGGAATGCCCAAGGATCAGAATAATGAAGGGAGAAGAAGAAATTGTTATGATTGAAGGCGGTGCAGCTATTCCAGGTTGGGTCCCCGAAGTGTCAGATGAGTACGTACAATCAAATGAATGAACATACAGATTATGCTGATATGCTCATAGCCCTTCGGTAACAGCCTGGTGAGGTATGATGTTAGTTCTACGGCAAAGATAGTATCGTTGATTCAAACGGAATACCTTGTCTAGATGTTTGGATACCAAAACCAGGTAGCCATTTGCTTCCTATCCTACTCTACTTCGCTGGATTATAGTAAGAGTAGGCCCTTGGTACCTTCTGGGTATGCAGGCGGCTTGTTTTACACGTTGACCGTAATATCATTGTGCTAGGTTGCGCTACTCAATTGCTACGTGGTGGATTTTGCTTACTAGTGGTATATGAAAAGCATACTGGGTAGGAAATTATTGTGGGCTCTCGCTCATAGGTTGCTAATTTTGCTAGTGTACAGCAAATAAGGGCTCCCTTGCGAAACGTATGGCATAGAGAGACGTGTAGAAGATTTGTTGGTTTTAAATAAATCAAATACAAATTATCTATGGAATGAGTCAACGTGGTGCTTGATAACTGTATCTTCGTCCAAGGTAACACTGATCACGTCTCTCACTTTCCAATGAATAAGCATGTACGTCTTCAATGTTACGAGATACGGATTGAAAATTAATCAATTACTTTGTTTCAATAATCTGAGTGGGTCTTTTTCTGTCGATTCTTCTGTTGTTGTCGAAAACTCTGATCCTTGTTCCTTTAGCAAAGGTTGAGAGAAATCTCTTTGAGAAACTCACTTAGTTATTCTAGGTTACTCACTGCAAATTGGCTTTTGAGCTTCAGTGTCGAAGTACTGTACTGGTCCCTATAACGAGCATTCTATGCCAGCTCAGGCTTTTCAAGTTCTAGATGCTGAGAATAGAGTGCGCCGTGCGGTTGGTGGGGTACTTATAGGAGATCGTGATGGGAGTTTTCTGGGAGTAAGGTGACCTATCCTTCAAGGGACAGTAAAAGCATATGGAGACCAGAATTATGGCCGGGTTTATGTTATGCTCGTATATTACACAGAGATCTGAGAAGAGGAACTCGTTGAATAATTTTCTTCCTATAGAGAAAGAACCTTATAAGTTGAGCTAGGTTGAGATACTGCTCCCAACCTGAATTCTCTGTATTTTCTTCTCTTCTTCTTTGCCTGCCCCTTATCGGCTCCCTCACTGAGACCCCCAAGCACCAATAAAGACTCCTACTATCACATCATCAGAGACCCGTCGATTGAAGGCTCCATCCTCTTTCCTATTTATATTCTGTTCCGATGTATCCACCATTATTTTTATTGGTTAATAAATTCGATTTATTGACTAATTCGGCGCTAATATCGGTGTTTATAAGCTAGCTGTTAGAGTTACTATTATTACTTATTTAGGTGAAAATAAAGCTATTACTACTTTTATTTATTTATATATATACTTATCCTTTGCTAGCCTTTTCTCTTACCTTAGGCCCTAGTTTAGTATTTAATTAAGTTCTTTTTAAAGGAAGAGATTTCTTAATATTTAAACTTTTTATTCTACCTCTTACTCTACTCGATTAATAAATTATATCTTTAGTTTCTCTTATAAATTACTTATCTAACTTATCCTATACTACTACTACTTTAGCCTCCTAAGCCTCAAGTATATACCGCGGAGTACGAGATAGTGTTTCTACTAGCGCTAGGGGGGTACTAGGTGGGTATTTTATCTATAATTACTTTTCCTGTAGCTTATTATATACCTACTAACTTCTTACTATAAAACTAAGTAATAGTAGCTAGGAGGGTTATCTTCTTTTAGCTTATTAGTTTATCTAGAATTCCGAAGGTTTTACTTTTTATAATAGTTTTAAGATTAGAACCTTAGTAAGAGCCTAAGTTATCTAAAAAGATAGAAAAGTATATACGCGTAGTATACTTTTTTAATAACCTAGTAAGATAATCTTAGTATTTTACTTATTAAGTCTATTTTTAGTAGTAAAAGGTATAGCTATTTTACTCTTCTTTACCATAAGATCTACTTAGCCTTTGTTATACTCTAGGACTCTTTTTAAGAGCATAGAGAGTATAAAAGTCTTAGTTTCCTTATTATCCTTAGTACTTAAAAGAGGCTTAGTATCTATATTCTAAATAAAGGTATTAATTACCTAGTTAAAATTAAAGGTGTTTTTATTTTATAGACTAGTTACGTAATTAGGCCTTTATCTAAACTATATTTTAAAAGGGGTAATATATACTAGGAGTATAGCTAGCCCAGTTATATTAATAATTGTCACGAATCACGTGTTTGCACGTAATGAGTGAAGACCAGGCGGCGTTCTGACAGGACAGGCACATCAGGATAGTTATAGCAAATAGGGATGCTTAGACTAGCTAAGCGATCCAGGCATTTCACTTGGATAGTATCACTTGATATGGTCACATGACCATTGGAGCTTGCAGGAGCTTTGCGTGGAGCTTATGGAACGTACGATCCAGGTCTTGGGATTACAAGACCCTCGAGTATGAAGGCTCTATATAAGACTGGCACTTCTGCCATTAGATAGGAGCTCCGTGCTCAACTTAGTTATCAATCTTATCATATTAGTTTGACATCTTTGATACAAGTAACGAGTTCACTTCCAAGTGAACAACCCGATAGTCTTCTTCTTATCATAGCATACCAACCAGCGAACACCCAGCCAAGTCTAGTTAGCCAGTTTGAGTATTCGTTACATAGTTATAGTATACTTACTATATTAGGTTTAGCTTTATTATCTTATAATTCTAGATAGTTATTAAAGTATTTTATTAGAGTAATAAGGGTAGGAGACTTCGAACTAGTTACTCTTATGGAGTATTAAACTAGATTATTATATATATTTACATATAAGTTATAATTAGCGTTAATTAAGAGTATTTTATATAGTATTATAGTAGGTTATTTATATCTTCGAATTAGCCTTTAATAAGTAAATACCTCGATTAGAAAGGATATTATATATAAAGGTTATCTAGGTTCTTTTATACTCTAATAAGTCTTATTTAGTTTATTCTATAAAGTTATTCTAGAAGATAGCCTATATTATTATATAATTCTAACGTTTCGCTATTATAATAAACTTTACGTTACTATATATATTCCTTATAGTAATTCCTATCTTATTATTATACATCAAGAGAGTTGAGCCTAGAGGTCTTTAGTTATTATTATATAAGAATATAAATAACCGATAGTATTATTAAAGATAGTATAAGTAATAGAGTTCCTAGTAGAAAGACTTCTAGTATTCCTAGGGCTTTCGCGTCTACTATTTAGCGTAGTTATAAATTAATTCCGGCTTCTATTCTAGTATTTACTATACTAATAGTATAAAGTACTATAGCTAGACTACCTAGTTCGATTACTAAGAGAATATATTAGTAGACGTAGCTTAGTCTTAATATAGATTATATAGCTATACTACTTATTCGAACGTTAATTAAAAAAGCGGGATTTAAAGTTAATACTTTAAAAGTATGACTTATTTTATTAATTATCTTACTAATTATTTTATTAATTATTTTATTAATTATTTTATTAATTATTTTATTATTAAGTAATTAGGTTACGAGTATACCTCGCTAGTTACGCTAGCTCGTACGAACTTACTAGGCTACTAGGTTCGTTAAAGTATACGAGCTAGCTTCGTTAAAGTACTAAGTTCGTAAAAGTACTATATTTATTAAAGTACGCTAGCTAGGTTTATTATAAAGCTAATATCCTAAGAAATCCTAACCCCCTTATCCTACCCCCTAGGTATAGATTAAGGACGTATATTTCTTTCTAATTTTCACCTACCTAGGTATATTACTAATAACTAATGACTACTTATATAGACCTACTATAACATATAATACTAAGCTTTAGGAGTTAAAGATGGGGTTACCCTCTAGAAGTAGTATCAAGAAATCTATATGGATAGTTTCGAATGATCCGAAGTATTCAAGAATAGCGAGGTGAGAAGAAACGCTGTTAATGTATAGTAACACATCTTGCTGTCCTAAAAATTTAGAATATTTGCTCAAGGTTATCCGAGAAGGTACAACAACGAAAGCCCAGCATCAAACAAATAAAGCCGCTGGTATTATCTACCGCGACTTGGGTATCAAGAAAAGCCACGCCCTCTGGATCATAAACTATAAAACTCCATCTAAAAAACCCAATTCAGTACCCTCTTTACCTTCCCCATATTCGTCTTTTCCTTCTCCGTCGCAGCCAAATCCACGTCCGAAATGGTATGAACATCACTTTCCAAATCCATCTCCCCCAAACCCATGATCTTCGTCTTCTTGAATACCTTCCATCCGACATACATCACAAGCATAACAGCCAACTGCAAATAGTAGCTCACAAAATCCACTGCCGAAAACTTTGGACTGAAAGAACTCCAACCTTGAACCAGGATAATGAAGATGTTTAGGATGACGCAAATCCATGGGCCCCAAGGATACGTCCAGTTTTTGAAAGGCAGAAGATCTTCTTTTCCTTGTAGTTTGACTGCTGCGCGGAATCGAATAGAGGTTATGCCAATTGCAACCCAGGCAATTTGATTCGAAACTCCCACGATATTTTGTAACCAAGTCCATAGTTGCCCTGCACCTATGAAGGATGCTCCAAAACACAATCCTGCGACGATACTGGTAGCTAAGACGGCAACCCACGGAACTTTGTTTCTGTTCAGTTTTCCAAAGACTTGCGGTGCATGACGGTCGACTGAAAGGGAGTATAGCAGACGAGTTCCAGCGAAAAGGGCGTGGTTTCCAGCTGAGATGACGCTGGTGACAATAACTGCGTTAATAAAACTGCCAGCTGCGCGAGCACCGGCCTGTTGGAAGACAAGAGTGAAAGGAGAGACGGAGCTGGATCTTTGTGTGAGGCCAGGAGTGTTATAAGAGACATTCAGACCAATGAGAAGAACGGATAGGATATAGAAGATTAGAATACGCCAAAAGACATTCTTTACTACACGTGGAAGGTTCTTGGTGGGGTTTGCAGTCTCTCCGGCGGTAATGGCGATTGATTCAGTTCCACCGTCTTATTAGGGAATCAGTTGATTGTAAATATGTTCTTGTATCAAGAAAAACTTACATGCAAAAGCTGCTGACACAAACACAGAAGCGAAACCACCTATTCCGCCTACAAACTAGATTACAAGATGGTTAGTTAATTCATCTACCTGTGGATCTTCTCAAAATTGTAAGATTTTCCGTAGGTTCAACGATAAAATGACAGTGAAAAGACAGGGTAAACATACAGGTGCATCACCAATGTTCCAGTTCATACCGCCAATGTATTTATGTTCAGTATTCCCACCACAGTTCACTGCGATTCCAAGTATAATAAAAATCTAGATTAGGTTAGATGCATCCAAAATAGTGACTTTGACCCGGAAGCTTACTGTGATAGTAATAACTTTCAGAAGGCTTAGCCAGTACTCAATCTGAATATCAAAGTCAGCTATGACTCAAGCTCGAGAATCAAAAAGCTTACTTCTCCATAAGCCCGAACAGTGACAATGTTGGCGAAAATCAAGACGACCCAAAAAATTAAGCTTAGTGCCCAGCCGGGCATATTTGTATTCCAGTATGAAAACACCAACTGAAGTGCAACCAAATCAGCTGCGGTCGAAACAGCGTCGTTAAACCAATAATTCCACGTCAAAGCGAAACCAAATGCATCATCAACATATCGTCCAGCAAATGTACAAAAAGAACCAGCAATAGGCACGAACGCAGCCATTTCGCCAAGGGCCAACATCGTCAGCAATATAATACCACCAACTATCAAATATGCGATGAGCATAGAAGCTGGCCCACCTGTAGCAAGAGACCTTCCTGTACCGAGGAACAGTCCAGTACCGATTGTTCCTCCAATAGCAATCATCTGGACCTGACGAGCGGAAAGTTTTCGCGCCAGCTTGTCGGCAACAATTGGATGCTGGCCATCATGACTGTATGGAGCATCTGGGGAGGGATTCCCCTCCAGATCCTTGGTGTCGGGGTGGTATGTTCCACCGATCGTGTGGAAATCATTGACGTCTGAAAGTCGCGACATGATGACGGTTGTTGAAAGGTTTGGAGGCACTAAATGGCGGTATTGTACGACAGAAAAGTAATATCACTTTAGTCATGTGGAAACTACTGTATGGTAGTTTCTGTTCATCGAAGCACGAAAAACCCTATGCCCAAGGGGAATGGAGATGCATGGAACGAATCGAAGACTGGCACAAGAGCTGTAAGAAAAGAGAATTGCAGGCCGAATGCTTATTTGTTTCTATAAAGAATTTCTCTGACGGCGTCAAGCTATTACTCAAGCTATTACGCGATGTCTATTGCGTGCTTGGGAGCCCAGCCAGCTTCCTATTAGGGAGCACCAAGACCTGTGGGTGCTGGGGGTTTGGATGATAAGATTGGTCACTGGATGACCCGTGCCTCTTCTTTGGAAGAGCTTTGAATGGACCGTTGAAGCAGCTTCCGAAAAATACTACAAGTGAATACTCGAGTAGTTTATTTCGTATGGGATGGATTTACTGCGATGAATATCATTGTGGCATTTCTAGTTCACGCCATTTTGGCGTGGATAATCCACTAGTTTCGGCACTGCTTACCAGGTACCGAATCTGAATCTCCGGCAGTTGCCGTGATAGCGTTCTCCTTAGCAGGTATCCTATCTTTTTTTTAAATAAGAAAAATGTGCCGGATTTAAATAATTCGAATACAAAATAACTGTTCTAAAATTCTAAAAGCATTGAAACAGCCATATCAACATATTTCGTGGAATATTAAATCGCTTGGGTGCTGCTTTTGTCCTGAAAAATATGCAATCTTACACTGTATGTACCTTACAGTACCTTCACACAGGACGGTGTGCAGGGTTGCCGGAACTCACCCATATACAGTATTGTAAACGTCAAGTCGCAAGGAATTCACTTTGATCGAGAATTGTCATCTCTCAATGTCTAGCCGCTTTTTTTCTTTCAGCGCTCCATTTTGCTATTATAGGACAACGAGATAATTTCACTTCTGCCAAAAGGCTACCAGATGATCGGAATCAGTACCCACCAAACATTTCACCCTCTCCCAAGTCTGATCCTCCCCTCTAATCCCTCCTCCGGACCTCTTCCACTCCCTCTTGTACTCCCTACTTTTCTAGTCTGTATGACTTGGGTCAGTAAAGATATATTGATTCCGAGTATCATGAATCGCCCGTATAACTATTCAAGTTATACGAGAATTTTAGGATAATGTTGTTCTACTCTACTTATTTTCAGAATAATGCGGGCTTCTCTTACAGTAGAAGGGCTTTGTGGTGGTATTTTAAGCTTGATTCTTGGTCGCCGAGATCGTGGGCTACGTTTCCAAGTACGTGGTAAAGACTGTCTAGGCTTTGGGTATCTATTTGACTAAGGGAAACACTGCTGACCCCCATAAATCCACGTGAATCCCACTTGGCTCCAAGATATAAGTTTCAAAGAGCAGTGTCCGAAGCCCTATAGCGAAAATTTACTAATGGTTTGTAGGATGTATTCACGACTTCACGCTATCAGTTTGTTACTCTGAAGATGTGGTTCGACTGAACCGCTAAGCGAAATAACCAATAAAAAAATGCGATATAATGAATATTTGTAAATAATGCTTCCTACTTGACCCTCTCAAATCCATCTACCTTCGTGTCTCATTTAAGTCATTCTAATCCCCCTTTTCTCATGCCTCCCATTGTCCACCTAAATGTGCTCATCTCACAACTCATCCTTTCCTTTACTCCCACCACAACACCCCTTCTTACAAGCACCCCCGCATCCAACACTGGTAGCACTGGAGAAACCAGGCGCAGGAACACTCGGTTCCCCATGATGTTGTCTACATCCCATTAGTCCTCGTCCACACACATCCCGCCTCTTCTCTCTGTACTTACCCATAGTAGCACTTCTTAGTCCTAGCCTGATAATCCACATTATGACAAGGCACAATCTTCCCACAGCTATCCATGCAATCCTGGAACGTCTCCTGAGTCGAAGTCCAAAGGATCTTGGTTCCGTGTCGTTTGCCACAGGACATTCTGAAGTTTTCTCCGCCCTCAGATTCGTAGAATTGGCCGTCGCTAATAGGACAGCTGGTTTCGCAGAGGGTGTGAGGGAACGGTTTGTCTTCCTCTGTTGCTGGAGGGTCAATGGTGTAGGCAAACCACTTTTCTTGGTTAGTTTTGATGCGTTGTAAGGACACCTTGAGAATATGAGGGGGAAATAGAACTGGGTCCTTACATGAGCGCAGGTGGTTACTCCTGGTCCCTCGCCATCAGCGAGGACACATTGGTAATTAGTATAGCCAGGTGATCCTGGAGGTGCGATGCTGCATTAGATCAGTACTTGGGTCTCTTCATGGGGATATTGCCACCGCTGCCAATATACTGGGGAGAACGGCGAGAAAGATTCACATACTAGTGGACGGAGATGCAGCCATTCTTGAGTTTGTTAGTCGGTGAGTAACAAATGCTCGATAGGTATGTGACTTACAGTTTGACTACATTTCGTCACGCAATCTGCCCAGGTAGGAACACCCTCATATGTGGCTAAGGTATTACCTTGGGCGTGATATCCGCATTGGAGCTTGTAGTATGTTCCTAAGGAATTCCGTTGACTACAGATCTCGCCATTGATCCTAGTTCAAATTTAACATACCATCATCAGTTTTGTATGCCTGACCATCTGTGTTGGGACACGATGGATTTGTCGTGATCCTGATATTAGGATCTGTTGGTCCCGGTCCCGGGCCGCCAGATGGAGGGTTCGCGGGTGGGGAGGAGGTAGGTGGTGTCGTCCCTGAAGAGGGGTTTGGTGCCCCAGATCCAGTGCCGGAGGATGGACTTGACCCGGTTCCAGAAGATGGTCCCGCGGCAGCAGAAGATCCTGAGCCTGTTCCTCCTGATGACGGCCCAGGTGGTGCTGGGTTAGAAGATGGTCCTGGCGGCACAACTTTGGAAGGATCGTCTTCCAAGTAGGCATTATGGGTCCCTACAACGGCCCGTGTTCCCCTCTACGATATCCAGTCAATTTGTGCACCGCAAATTAGACGATTAGAGCTAGAAGAAAGATCTTACTTGTCCTGTACTTAGAAAAACACATGATTTTGTTTCAGGCGTGTAATCGACACCTTTACATCCAGGTGTAACTCCGCAAACGTCAATACAAACTCCGAAGTATGGTCTTGCACCTCTGGACGACACCGTGACATCAGCCGCGGGATCACAGTTGATCTTGTATGTGTTTCCTAAATGCTTTCATTAGTTCAGATCGGGATGGGGCATCGGAATTCATGCCTTTGGTGTCAGTCCTGTATTTGCCATTATCAACTGGGCAGTTTCCTGGATTGTTGGCAGGTTGCTGAGCTTGAGCGAGGAGAGTAATGGTAGCCAAGACGAGGGCATGTTTCGAGAAACCCATGATGATGAAAGCTGTCAGATGAAGTTGTTGGGAACTCCGGTGGTTTGCCTATGTTGAGGTTGAATATAGTTCTCTCTTGGATATATATACTTGATTGCTGTCAACTCCTTTGCAGTTCCCATTCAAATCTACGACAAGTATCCGAGCCCTAGGTAAAGAGTTGCTGTATTTCATTCCGATAATGGAATGAAGGTGGGGAGAAAGGAGAAAAGTGCAACAAAAACGGACCTTTACAGGATGATATTCAAGATAATGGCGTGGAATGCAGTTCAAAAATATCTTCCTTGCAACTCTTGCTACAACTTCCATTTCTGCGTGGCCCTTGGGCAATGGGTGCCATTGGTATCTCATTGCTATAGTCTGCAAGGGACCCGCGCAGTCGGGTACCCCAGCGCCTGTCCCTGCACCACCCCCCGCACCACGTAGGTTTTTATACACTGCGCAAGACAGCTTTCGCTGACACTTCTAAGCTTGCACAACTTGCGCTGCCCCTCCTTGCCCCGCGGCGTGTACACCATTTATCCCAGCTGCACAACGCACCATCGGAGCGACGGCCTGTGAGTGTCTTCCTCATGGAATACCGAGTTTGAAAACTAATGTAGACAGGCCCTGCCCCTCAATATGCCCTTTTTGGTTCCACTGGAAACTTCCAGTGCTGTGGGCCAGCCAATGATCCACTCACTGGAATGGCTGCTTGTTGAAGTGTTGACATGGAAGGTTGTTGTCAAGTGCCGGAAGGATTTGGGCGTTGCGTTGTTTTGAAATTGCAAGCCTGACAGCAGAGAAACGTATCATTAGGAGAGCAACTGTGGAGAATGAAAATCAATAGAGTTACTCCAGTCGCCGGCAGTGTGTGAGATTCAGATGCTTCGTGAGCCCACTAGAATGCCCCATGAAAGTGTTGGTAGCCTCCTCCCATCTCCCACTCGTGATGTCTTGAGCAATGAGATTATGATGACGATGAGTGGTTGAAGAGAGACATGACGGCCCGGGCCATCAATATTTGTAGTCTTATATTCTCCGAATATTGCCATTGTCTCTGACACAATGCACGGGGTAAGTTCAACCATACCTAGTTGTCAACAATAGACGCAACACTCGTCGCAATTCTAGAAGCTCGATCACACCGTTGGTAGGATGTTTGGAGATTGTGGATTGATGTTGCAGCAGGATACCATGTCTTTTTTCTCCTGCAACATTTGTGGGATACAAAAGCCTATAAATACCTATGTCAAGGACTATAAAGTAACATTTGTTAGCCTCAAAGTAAAGAAAGACACGTTGGGCTAAAATATTTTCACAAGACTTGTATATGGTGTAGACGTACAGTACCTTGTAAATGTGTCCAACAAAGCGTACTCGTATGGGTACTGGTACTGTGAGAATCCCATCACAAGTACTGAGCTATACCTAACCTCTGCGATGATGTACTGTACCACCAAACAAAGGAAACTTCTTTATTCAGGAAAGGGGAAACAGCTGTACAATGAGTCGCTAGCAATGTTGTTGATAGACCATCAGAAAGCAAACAAATATGGGAGATTGTTGTCGCTTGGAGTTGGAGTGGGGTGAAGCTCGCTTGCCGTACATGCAGAGGGGAAACCAGAACCAGGTGCGAGCAGGTGCCAAAAAAGGTCTGTGCACATGCCACCCCATGACGAAGCTTCCCTTCTGTTTCCCACTTGCAGCTCCTTGCCAGGCACATCACCGATTCTGGAGTTTCCATTCACAACCACCAACACCTTGCACGACCATTGTTGACCACTGGAATATTCCACAAGAGTCCGCGATTGTGCATCATGTGGAACGATGAAGACAATAATCCCTATGGCGCCAGCTTTAAGCATTGCGACTCAACGGCCTCCTCAGCAGCAAACCCCAACTCCCCAGGCTCTCGTACGTTTCTTCCTCCTCAGGACACCACGTTCTCTATCGCCACATATTCCCAGAATGTGGCAGTCAATACAGCTTGAAGATGAGAAAACTGACAGTGACTGGGACCTTTTAGACGGCTACAATGGCCCCCGCACCCCCTCCACGATAAGTGATACAGAGAACGGCCCCAACCCTCAGCAATACGATTGTGATGCAAGCGATGATGGAAGCGACGAAGAGTATGGAGTAGCTAGTTCGGCCACGGCAGCTCCAAAGAGAAAGAAGGGGGGTTACGACAGTCGCATTGAACAAATACTGTATGAGAACCCAGAGCTTCCAATTTTGATCGTGGATGCAGGCAAAAGCAACGAGGCTGGTGGAAAATATATCGTGTATACCATCAGGACAGGCGTGAGTTACTAAGCCCGTGTAATAAAGCTAGGATCAGATACTGAATAATTCCATAGGACCTTGAAGTTCGTCGAAGATACTCGGAATTTGCGACACTTCGAGACGCTCTCTCCAGATTACATCCGACTCTCATCATACCTCCAATCCCAGAGAAGCATACCATCGCAGACTACGCCGCAAACCCCACCAAGGCAAAACAGGACCAACATACAATCGATCTACGCAAAAGAATGCTTGCGGTTTTTCTTAATAGGTGTAGAGCAATGGACGACGTGCGGAACGATGGTGTCTGGTGGAGGTTTTTAGATCCAAATTCGAGCTGGGTATGCTATGAGCTGCATTTTAGGCTTAATGGAATATTGCTGACTTCATATAGAACGAAGTTCTACATTCACACCCAATTGCGAGCATACCAAAATCTATTTTGAAAGCCCCACCTCTCGATGCTTCAAACCCAACACCCGCCCATAGTTATCTCCCGGTTCCAGCCCCGTCCGCTAGACTCAAGGGAACCTTGTCAAGTAACACGAATGCTCAAGGAATGCCAAATAAACCTACTGAATACCAAGCAAGTCCATCAGCTGCCGCCCACACGACGCCTGGGATTCAAATTTTTGGAAGATTTCCCCCTGACACCCAAAATCTAAGTGAACAAGAACTTGATCCGTACTTTATAAATTTCGAGGCTTCTTCAAAGGAGCTGGAAACGCTTCTCACTGGACCAATCGAGAGGGTCAATCGACGAACTTTGACACATCTTTCAAATATGTCTGCTGATTTATCCGAGCTTGGAGCTAGATACAATGGGTTTTCTCTATCAGAACCATCGCCTTCTCTTGCTGCAGCCATTGAGCGCGTTGGTCAAGCAGTGGATTCGTCTTATATTGCAACCGAAGAGCTTTCGGGATCATTAGGAGCAAGTTTCGCTGAGCCCATGCGCGAAAGTTCCCAATTTGCTGGAGTGGTTCGAAGTGTACTCAAATATCGGGTCATGAAGCGAATTCAGCAGGAAATGACGAATGATGAATTAGCGAGGAAGCGAGCAGCTTTGGAGTCGTTCGAAACTAGCGAATCTCAGGCGAAACGAATTGATCAATACCTGAGTAAAAGCGGTACTTTGAATACTCCCCGAAGGTCAAATTCCTCCGCTAGAGAATCCCCAACCCCAAGACGAGAAAATGCTCAAGAAGACACTGCGTCCATTGATTCAGATTTTCCACCTACTCATGGAGATGTATCAACCACTCCTTCGGCTGCTCAAGGGGCACCGGAAGCCCAACCACCCGTCCATCGTAAGAGTTCGAGTGGAAACTTTATCACCAACAAGATATTCGGCAGAATTAGCCATGCGGTGCATGGGGTTGTGGACGTTGACCCGGAAAGAACAAGACGGGATCAAATCGGTAGGACGAGAGAATCGATTGCACATCTAGAGCAAGCACAGCTTGTTTCGGCTCAAGATGTGAAGGACGCAAGCGCAGGAACTCTGAAAGACTTGAAGAGGTTCCAAGCTGAGAAGGAGGACGATTTGAAGCGGTATATGGTGAGTAATGCAATATCGTACTTTCTCGAAAAAACTACTGACCTATTAAAAGCTTGCATATGCGAGAAGTCAAATCGTTTGGGCTAAGAAAAATAAGGAGACATGGGAAGAAGCCAAGGCAGAAATTGACAAGATAGATGAGAGCTGACGAGGACATTGATAGGTTGGGCATGTTAAAGGTATTAGGATGTATTTCCCTGAATATGGAGACACCATGAAGGCGTTCTAGGGGTGTAATTAGGTAATGACCAGACATAACTGCCAGCGCAGGAATAGAAATATTTGAGTGTAATACCTGGATATCAAGATGAACGTTTTGTTCTTTTCAGCTTCACTGATGGTTGTTTTTCCACAAGCAGTCCATTCACTTATGTATTTTCATTCACAAGCAACCTCGGCTAGCTGCACCAGGCTGCAAGGCTGACAGTTTAGATTTACCCCACAGTCTTGGCTCTTTTCTGGGGAAATGACGTATTGTACTAACTAAAGCCATCTCCAGCTTTTGAACGACTACTCCTACTCATACCACACTAAGAACTTCCCCTCACCACAATACAAGAACCACAATGGACTGAATCCTCGCAAGAAACAATTACTATTCAATTTGAAAACTTACGAATACACGATTCCTCCTACAACTATCTCAAAATGGCTAACATCTACAACAGCGACCTCGTAAATCTCCCTTGATTTCCTCCCCAGAGAATGATAGAACTAACACATGTCAAAAGGATGCATTCGACCTCTATCACAAACAACAACGCTCACCTCTAACCTCCATCCTCAATGGGCCTGCTCTTCCCGCTCTGGGCCACGCTCTCGCCGGCTCAACAGGGACTGCGATTTCCAATATCGCCATCTACCCACTTAATCTGGTAATCACACGTTTGCAAGTGCAACGCCAACTGCGCAACTCCTCATCAGGGTCCGATGAAGGGTATAAATCCGTGGTCGATGCGTTCACGAGGATTTATGAGAAGGAAGGAGGTGTGAAGGCGTTGTATAAAGGTGTGGTTACGGATACGGGGAAGAGCGTTTTGGATTCCTTCTTGTTCTTTTTGGTGTATAATTATTTGAGGACTGAGCGGGTCAAGAAAAATGGTGGCAAGGGGGGACTACCTGCTTTTGAGGAGTTGGTGGTGGGTAGTTTGGCGGGTGCTGCTTCCAAGCTCTGCACAACACCCATTGCAAACATCGTTACCAGGAAACAGACTGCCTCTCTTCTTTCCTCGCGATCGAGCGCGGGGTCTGGAGGAAGAGATCCGACGACGAAGGATATTATCGATGAGATCAGAGAGGAGAAGGGACTCCAGGGGTTCTGGTCAGGGTACTCTGCGAGTTTGGTCCTAACGTTGAACCCGAGTCTTACATTCTTCTTGTATGAGATGTTCAAATGCACTCTCCTCCCACGCTCCAAACGCGAGGATCCCGGTGCACAAATCACCTTTCTAATGGCGGCAATCAGCAAAGCCATTGCGTCAACAATCACCTTCCCCTTCTCGGTCGCTAAAACACGCGCGCAAGTTTCCTCTTCACCTCCTGTTGATCCAGCTTCCGCTTCGCATCTCAAAACGGACATCTCATCCATCGAGAATAAAACCGATGCGAAGAATGCTGGGAGGGAAGTCAAGAGGGTTGTGAAGAGGAGCACGGTGTTCAATACGATTCTTCGGATTTATCGTGAGGAGGGACTGGAGGGGTGTTATGAGGGCGTTTGGGGCGAGATTCTGAAGGGCTTTTTGGGTCATGGGATTACGATGATTGTTAAAGAACGGGTCCATCAACTTATCATCCAGGCCTATTATTGGGTCCTCAGATCTCTCAATAAGTACCCATCTCCCTCCGAATTAGCGAGCCAGGCGAGTCAAGCTGCGACTTCGGCGACGAACTCGGTTAGCGAGAAAGTCGGGAATGCTGTCACGAGCGGAAAGGAAGGGGTCAATAGTACGATCGAGGTGGTTTCTAACGTCATTACCAGCGGCACTCAAAGTGTCAGTAGTAACGTCTCGAGTGGCGTTGAGCGAGTCGGTAATATAGGTACGAACGCGGTTTCGGGTGCGAAAACAGGGGAGAAGATGGCTAGTGAGGAGGCGGGACATCTTTTGGGGAATGCGAGAGAGATGTTGGGTGATAGGTTGGTGCAGGTTGGGAGTGAGATTAAGGCTAAGGACGAGTAGGTGTGGGTGAGAATTCCAGAGTGGAAGTCTTGATATGGGAATGGTGATGGGAAGAATGGGATTGAAAATTGTCAGTTTGGAGAAGTTGATGGGCGCAAGGAAGGTTGTAATATTTATTGTAATAATTTGGAATGATGGTTGGAGCGATGGGTAAATGATATGCTATGACAGTTCGCTGTTGAATATTTGCCGTGTTTTAAGGTGGATTTGGTTGAAATCAAGACCCAATAGGGCGAACCTTCATCTGAACATCAAGGAGGCAATGGATAGCGATTTCACATCCATTACCCAAACGACTCACGTCTTAATATACTTGAACCAATACCAGGTTAGCTGTTAGGTAATTGTAGGGCTGCGTAGAGGTAGGCCACTAAAATCACCAAGATTCAGTGTTTGATTATCAGTTCACCATGCTGTGACGAAAGTGTCACAATATACACCACTCAATCATTCTTTATAGAAGAAACTTTCCAGCTTTTAGGGTACAAAGGGTCGAGGAATATACAAATTTATCTCACAAACACGCTCCCTCATATCAAAAGAACCACCAAGACTCCATGCACGCACAATGCAAAGGTATACAAACCCCCCAACTCCGGCATGCTCATATCATCATTTACAGCGTAACGAGACCCTTTTATGTCTTCCCGACCCAACTCCCATCCTTCATTTTCCCCGGTGCTTTCACACCTTCTTCCGCCCAGGTTTCCGCAAGTCCTTGTTTAGGATCTTCATCTGGATATCCCAGACTCCTTCGGACTTTCAGAACTTCCATGCGGACACGTAGAGTGACTTCCTTCCTCAAAGCTTGAGCTTCAGCAGAGTGTTTAAGGCCTTCGGTTAATTCGCCCATACTCCATTCCTGTGTAACCCCCTTCTTATCCAACGCTTTCTTCTGCAATTCAACCAATGTCTTCCATTTACCCCGTAGTTCTCCAAAGACTTTCTCCCCATCCACCTTCTCACCAAACACGATCTTCACATCTTTCCCCGTCCGTGGGATAAATCGCGGAAATGTCCGAGCTTCATGCATGATTTGCTGATTCCCATCGATAAAAATTGGTATTATGTCAGGAAGCGGATCGGATTCAAGAATCAGACGTGAAACTCCCCATTTGAAGTATCGCAGCGTCTTTTGCGGATGCTGATGTACGCGACCTTCTGGGAAAATATGGATCCAGGCGTGTTTGTTGGAGGTGTATATAGAGGGAGCGATGAATGAATCTTGGTCGTTGGTGGAGTATGTAAAGGCGCCTGAAGTGAAGGGATCGGAGAGGAGGGACTCGGTGGAGAGGGGATCTTTGAGTGTCAGGATTGGGCGGGCGGTTGTGGAGGTCTTTGGGAAGGGTTGCGAGGAGAGGAGGCGGATTGCTTCGGTCATGGTGGGTTGGAAAGGGGTTCCGTAGGTAGAATATGCGCCACGGTGAGTGGGGAGAACTTGTCCGTAGGTAAAGAAAGAGGATAGGAATCTGCGAGGAGGAGTTTTGTTAGAATTTTGGGTTTATATAGAGGCGCGAACACGTACTTATTTTGGAAACAGATATCGTAGCTCCCTAAACTCCATCTATGGTTCGAGGGGTTGAAGCCGTATTTCAGAGGCAGTACACCCCATATTAAAGGATCGTCGATTCTGCAAGCATGTCATGAGCTCAAACGAATCTGAGGGGTCGCATATTCCAGACATACACGCTGACATGATTCGACACTATTCCAATTCGTCAGTTCTATTTCCACCAACAATTTCGGAGGCGGTGATACACACCAGTTATCAGCCCTCTTTCTCTTCCCTGTACATCTTTTCTGCTATCCAGAGTTTCTAGAAACTTATCAAGCCCAATTGTCTCCGTTCTATTCATCCCAAAAAGGAAACCCCTCGATATTGCGCCCGCAATGCCCATTATCAGCGAAGAAGTTGTGCGATACCCCCACGAGGGACTCTGCGGAGGGTTTTGTAAAGACATGGTAGCGTCTTTGTTTATGTGTGGTACTATTTCATGTCGGAGTAAAGGAGCGGAGTGCAGTGCACTTTAGCAATGGGAAGGGGAGGAGAAATGTGGTTATAGGAAACAATCAAGGTTGAGGAAAGGTACGAGTACTCGGTAGATGATCTGGTCAATGGATGCAAGAACAGGGACATCCCCACGTCATTGCAGGTGAGGTCTGGAATCTTGTAGGGGTTGGGGAAGAACTGTTTCGCCGACTTCCGCTACCTGTACAGGGGATGTTCTGAGGCTGGCTTGGCTGGTGCCATTTTTAACGACACCTCTTGGAGAGACCTGCTCACTCTTTCTGTCTTACGAGACCTTTTGATATACAATTATCCTTTCAGAAGAACGCTTCAGCTCCTCAATTCAATTCACAACTAGCTGAACTCGCTTCTCTAGGAACGTCATCAAAATACCGTTTTCCAAGGCGAATTGTGGACTGGGTCCTCCCGCTCCTAAATTGGCAACTTAGAGCTTCGCCAATTGTCATTGGTACCTTCTGGACTGTACCCACTCACCATAACGCCTTTCCTTCGTTTACCTCATCACAACAAGAATATCTTTGTAAGTGACTGTCATTCATTGGGAGTCAACGAAATATTGTTGCGGAAGCTGTATTTGTCGCCTCATCTTTCGCTATCGCGCTATATTTGTTGACTATTTACATCTTTGTTCGTATAAATGTCTTCGACTCGTGATGTCTGATTACAGAATGATAGAAGCTCATTCGGATTCACTTCCAATGCCATCGCTTGAGATTATCTTCCATTTTCATTTATTTTCATGGCTGCAAGCCTAACATTTTATAGCAGCATCGCCCGAGCGTGTATTCTCATCTCACCTGACACAAAAGAAAGCCATTATGTCGCACAGTAAGTCGTTATCAATTTCATTTCAAAACATCTCTAATGTATCACTAGGCAAGCGAAATACTTCTCGCGCCGTCTTCACCTCACATGAAAGATCCCTCGCAAAATCAGCTTGGAACTCAACGAGCGCACGTCTATCCAGGGACTCATTTCTACCATTCGCATCGTGCAGGTTATGTCTTCTCCCGGCCAGAGAGCCAGTCTCATGTTCTCATGGGGATATCTTCTGTAGAGAATGCGCCTTAAGCAATATCCTAGCCCAGAAGAAAGATATCAAGCGTCTTGAAAAGGTCAAAGAAGCCGAGGAAAAGGAGGCAAATGAGGACGTCAACCGCGCTGAAGATGAGGCAAAGAAGAGAGCTGTTGAGGAATTTGAGAAGGTCCAGATGGGGCTAGAAGCGAAGATGGGAAGCTCTTTAACTAGCAAAATAGTTGGGAGAGAGGAAGGCAAGATTCTTGTTGAGGAGACTGTGGAGGGGAAGAGGGGCGAAAAGAGAAAGTTTGAGCTGGATGAAGATGAACTCCTGAGAATCGCAAGAGAGGAGAGAACGAAAGCCAGAAAGGCGATTGATGATGAGAAGGTATGTTGATCTTCCGGAATCTTCTGCAACATACTAATCTCTATTGTAGGCCGCGAAAACCACTCTCCCCTCCTTCTGGGTCCCATCAATCACCCCCTCCTCAAACACAAACTCAACTCTCCACAACATCACCAAGAAAGTCAAACTCTCACCAGTCTGCCCCGCCTCTCAAGAAGATAAGCCCCACTACTACTCCCTTCACGGCCTGGTAACAGTACAATTCACCGAAGAAAAAGATACCACCACAGGCACAACCCAAAGAATCTGTCCCTCCTGCAAGAAAGTGCTCAGCAACACATTCAAAGCCATGCTCGCCAAACCATGCGGGCATGTTCTCTGCAAAAGCTGTGTTAGTAAATTCATGACGCCTTCTGGAGTCCATGATCCCCATGCACCGGATGTGGATCAGAATCTGGTTTTGTGTTATGTTTGTGAGGCGGATATTACGGAGCGTGCTGGCGGAGGTGAGGGGAAGAAGGGAAAGGAGAAGGAGGAGGTCGCGCCGGGCCTGGTGGAGATTAAGAGTGATGGGACAGGATTTTCGGGTGCTGGAGGAAATACCGTTGAGAGGAAGGGGGTTGCGTTTCAGTGCTAGGGGTGTATTGTATGTAAGATATGGGGTCATTACTCTGTACAGAGCTAGGTAGAAAAACGTTTTTTTCGAAGCCTCGCACAAGGAAAACAGTTACAGCATATGAGCGATCTGGAATAATCAAGGTTGCTACCTCTTTATCAAGCCAAATAGTTTAGGACAGTTGACTTGATCGATTCGGGAATCCCAGTACAACAGGGCCAAAGGTGTGTACAGAGTGACAGACAGAACTCTTACTTATCGAGCTTCAATTGCGTCTCTTCAAATGAAAAACAACCAATATATACTATTACAGGAATGCCAGAACGATTGAGGCCTACAGAACGTCCCTCTAAGAAACCCATATCCACAACTAGCAAGCAGTCAAAACCCACAATCTACGAATCACGGAGCCCATCGTACCATGATGCATCCCTATAAAAGATACCCATGCATCTCCAAGTTGAGACGCAGTACGGAAAACAGAGAACAGCGAAGATATGAAATTGTGGGGTGTCCCTCTCCACTTCGAGAGATAATACGTTTTCCTTCGAGAATCATGCTGGAGTAGAAATGCACGGGATCAAAGGTCTTGAAAGGGATTTACTATGGGTGTGCTTGAATGAGTTGTGTGTTATAAGGTTTATTTGTGCAGGTCTTGGTTCCAACAGTAGAGTGTAGTTTGACGGCAAGGAAATGGGGGGTTCTGAACTATCGTTTTCTCACCTTTTTGGAAGGAACTAGATCAAACAAAGAGGCAAAGATTGTATCACAGGTAACAGTTTGGCATCTCTTCTTCGATGTTCTGGTAACTGACGGGAATACGTGGCTTGTCTCATGGAGCTGAACCTTTTGACACTACCACAGCTTGTCAAACGAGCCTTAAATTACCTTGAACTTAGCGCGTCGACTTTCTTTCGTTCCTCCACGCTAGAACGTTCAGCCCGGCATTGATCCAAATGATAACCCCTGGAGATGGTTGTATCCTGCAAATTTTTGGATTTTAAGTTGATTCTGAACCAGCTTATAGAAGTCACAAGATCTTGACAAGAAGAGTATTCTCCACTGATTTGCGCCGCCATACGCCGACGGTTTGGGGAAAGAGGTAGTTGTTCGTGATTGAGAGAGTGGAACTTGGGGTTGAAAACTTTATCTTTGCCGAGGGATCTCTTGGATTTTTGTTTTCATATTTTGGAGGTTCTCTTTTCGTGGTTTAGTGAAACTACAGAAAAACCTGGATATGAGGATATTCGTGGGGGCAAGTTTCGTAAGGATATAACCGAGGTTATCCTTATAGCGAGGGTCTTTAGTATATACTAAAGAAAACTAGGACCTAAAATTTAAGGATATAAACGAGGTTATCCTTATATCCAGTATCCTTATATCCAGTATCCTTATATCCAGTATCCTTATATCCAGTATCCTTATATCCAGTATCCTTATATCCAGTATCCTTATATCCAGTATCCTTATATCCAGTATCCTTATATCCAGTATCCTTATATCCAGTATCCTTATATCCAGTATCCTTATATCCAGGTTTCTCTGTATATAGAATTCGTGGAGAGGTCATGATTCCTTTGGGTGTAAATGTGGATACACGTTGTATTAGTTCATGGGATGTGAAAGCGTGTAGTTGAAGAGTTGGACTCTTAGTGGTTTACATAATCAGATTTCTTTGGTGTCATGTATAATACCACTTTTGATGGTTTCTTTGCTAACGTTCTATTGGGTATCGAAGTACCTTGTAGTAGAGTTATAAGCTACGTTCGAAGCTACGTTCGGAGTAACAGCCACAAGATGAAAACAAGAGCCGTTTTTATAGGGGCATGATATCAATAACTCCCAATCAGACTCTTTATATACCATCCAACACTGATCCAAGTATTCAAACAGGAAGGTAATCGTTCCTCAGACTTATGCCCAAAACTTCCGGATTGGCAGCGCAAAGACCCTCAGCCTGAAAAGGATAAAAGAGACTTCTAAACTTATGATTATAGGCAAGTCAATCCCGAAACCAGAAATGCACCGTTTTGATTTTGGAGCGGAGGGCTAAATCGAGATGCTAGGAGGAGGATTATTCAATGGCAGTAGGAAATGACAATGTGTGATTCTAAAGTATGTAATCTCCCCAGAAACACTTTATTTCACTCTCCTGGGATAAGGCCTTTTTATCTTGTTGACAGCAACTTGTTCTTCGACAGTGAGAAAAGCCGCAGTCAACTTACAATAAGGGAATCATCAATGTGTCTAGATAGACTCACAACGGATGAAAAGGTTGAAGCATCTTCCGCCCTCTTGGCATGGTGAGCTAGTTGTAGTCGGGCTTCTTTTTGATGACCTCTGCAACGACTTCCTTACGGCGAACCTGTGCGAGTCCGGTTTCTCAAACCGTTCATCTTTGGCTTCGAGAATGGGATTTTATATGGCTTGATACGTCACGATGACTAGACGGTGGGTGGTTATTCTTTCTTGCAGAGAGGCCACCTAACATAACCAGCCCTAGTAGGAGCGGGCGTAGATAAGGTATCGACAACCGGTTGTTGATACCTTATGTATATTTTTGTATACGCTTGGTTATAGATATTCTATTAATAATTGTGGATGCCTTATCTATAAACAGTTGTTAATAAATAGTTACTAAAATATCTAAAGTTGTTAATAAATTATAACTTTTCTAGCTATATTAAATTTATTCTAAATTTTATATAACTTATAGGAATTAGAAAGTAGAAACTTAGCTCTATTATATATAAATTAAATAAAGTAAGGAAACTCTAATAAGAAGAAGTAGTTAGTAATAAAATTTATAGTAATTTAAAGTTTATAAAAGAGTGTAACGAATACTCAAACTGGCTAACTAAACTTGGCTGGGTGTTCGCTGGTTGGTATGCTATGATAAGAAGAAGACTATCGGGTTGTTCACTTGGAAGTGAACTCGTTACTTGTATCAAAGATGTCAAACTAATATGATAAGATTGATAACTAAGTTGAGCACGAAGCTCCTATCTAATGGCAGACGTGC